CCGTAGGGCGGCCACTCCTCCACGCATCTCTGACTGCACCCTGGGGCCCGCAGCCCAGGACCGCCGCTTCTTCGCCCTGGGTTGTCTTCCGCTGGGCCCCGGGGGCCCAAAGACGGCGAGGGTCCTCGGGGGCCCCGTCTCCCTCGCCTCGGGGGCCCCTTTGCCTGATGCATGGAGGGAGGAGGGAGGAGGGAGGAGGGAGGAGGGAGGAGGGAGGAGGGGAGGAGGGAGGAGGGAGGGAGGGAGGGAGGGAGGGAGGAGGAGGAGGAAGAGGAGGAGGGGGAGGAATTGATTTGGTCGTGGGCTGACGTCGGGCCTCAGCTCCCTACAGCGAGCGCGGAGCGGACGGCGACCCGGCCCCGAGAGGGGCCGACCACACGGGACGCTGGGGAAACCCACGGTACCGACACCGCTATACTCCCCGGACCTCTCCTGGGGTGCGTTCTGACCGGAATTTCGAGGCAAATCCGGCGGTGGCGACGAGGGCCACCCAGGAGGCCCAAGAAGGGGAAGACGAGGCAAGGGCAGAGGCATGGGTGCCTCTTCCTCCTCCGAGACGCGGGGCGGAGAACCAGGACCCAGAGCGCAGCCAACCGCTGGCATCGCTCGGACGTCCATTCCGTGTTTTTTTCGGTTTCGTGCGTGGTTTTTCCGCCAAATGATCAAGGATGCTCCCCGATGGTCCTCGCCAAGGAAACAATGCACACGTCCCAGCGATGCCAAGGAGAAGAAGAAACGGCACACAATGAAGGCCAATCCACAAGAAGCCTTCCGCGAGAACCCCAACCCTGAGATCCCAGGACGTCCACCGATTCTTGGCGTGGGAACGTCACGCTTCCCATCGCAAAACCATCGGCGCCGAAGAAGCCCAAGGCACCCAGGAGGCAAGGAGGTTATTTCTTGGCATGGGCCTCCACTGTAAACATAAACGTTTGGCGCTCAGCACGGAACGCGTCAGGACGGAGCGCGCAAGGAGTGGCGCTGGAGGCGCCGCCGAGAAGGGGGGGCCCCGCGCGGATTCAAGAAACCCGCGCCGAGCGCCAAAAGCTCTTGTTTATGGCGGTTTCTTCTTCTTCGAAGATCGGTGAAAACCTTAAGAGAGCCTCGGCACGAGGCCCTGCGCGATCAAAATCTTCAACAGCGATTTGATCAGGTTCACATGGCTCGGGCGGAAGACCCACAGCGGTCGCGGCCTCCGCTTTGGAAGTCGGACGGGGCGAGCCCAGCAAGGGCAAATGCCTGGCGAGCGATCCACCAGCTACGACTAGTAACCACTGGGCGTCCGCGGAAGTGCACCACCATCGGGATAAGCAAAACCACCATCTGCGGCGAGCGGGGGGAAAATGAGAAGGAGAAGACCTTCTCAGAAGGCGGCGGGACTCCTTTGAAGCCCTCGCGCCTTCTGCGAGGTGCCGCCTGTCATCGAGGAAGGCTTGGAAAGCTTCTCGGCAGGCTGGGGGACTTCCGAACCTTCTGAGAGGGCCTTTTCCTTCCCACTTTTCCCCCCCTCGCTCGCCGCCGACACCAGCGAGGACGAGACGGATGAGGCTCTGCCTTGCGGGCGCCGCGCTCCAGTGGGCGCCAGGCGCGCGCAGCGGAATGGGGCGGCCCCTCGGACCCCCCCGCACGCCGCAAGGGCACCTCGCTCACCCCCCCGAAAGGCATTTGAACATTCCTCGGTGGGCCTATAGACAAGCCATGACGCTTCGCCACTGCTTCGATGGGCACCGAATCGGAAATCCGGATCGAATCAGAATGTGCGTCGGACTGGGCCGCATCGGGACGGAGTCGGAGGCGGGCCAGATCGGCCGCGCCAGAATGCACACCGGCGCAATGCTAGCATCGGGCCGCATCGGATCGCCCGGATATCGGAATCGACTCTGATCTGGCCATCAGGAGCCGATATCTACTCGGATCGATCAGATCCACATGCTTCGCTGGGGGAACCAACGAAGCAGGAAGAAGAGGACACGAGGAGGAGGAGGAGGAGGAGGAGAAGGAGGAGGAGGAGGATATATTTAAAATAACCTCCGCTGGCAACCGCTTTAGGACAACCAGAAGAGAAGACATTTGGCGATGGTTGACACCAAGCGGAAAACAGCAAACCCAGGCCACAACCCAAACGGAGTCGGACGAAAACCCGGAACTCAGGTGGGCAGCTTGCACGAACGGTCTGAGGAGGAGGCGGGAAGCAGGAGGAGGAGCAGGAGAGAGAGACGGAGGATGAGGATGAGGCGGAGGGACGAGGAGGAGGAGAGGAGGATGAGGAGGATGAGGAGGAGGACTCTGCTGGACTCTGCTGAGCGCCGCGAAGCGGCCGATCAATCAAGTGTCTGGCATCCGCAGTGGCCGTGCGACCACAGGTCATGCAGAAGAAAAGACCAAAAGCTTTCATCTTGGCGAGCTGGTGGCTGGAGTGCAACAAAACTCCACCAACTCGCACTTCGCCAGAGGCCGCCTCGAAACCCTCACCATACTCCGCAGGCAGGCCAGTCTTTTCCGCCGCGTCCAGCTGCGGGGCGAGAGACCGACCAACACATTGGGTCGAGGCGACCTGGAAAAGCCTACTACGCGGGATAATATCCTTGCACAATTTACACCTCCAGCGCCCCGCAAAGGGGACAAAAACATGGGAGCTCCTGGCCAGGGCCGTCTCCAAACGGGTTGGCCTACGCTGCTGACGCTCGCGGGCAGGTCTCTCGCCGACCCAAGGTTCGACCTCGAGCGCCATCAACAGAGCCCTCCGAGCTCTGAGCCTCACCAGTGCCGCCGTCGTGTCCCACAAATCGGTACGGGGAACAGGGGGCGACACACACCACTCCCAGGCCCATTGGGCCGCGGCTCCAGCCCAGGCGTCGGCACAGGCGTTGCCCAGGCTCAGGAACAAATCGAATTCAGTCTTGACCAACTGTAGCTCGTCCTCCCTATGGGAGGGGGTCCACAAAACAGAAACCTCCCCAGGGCCGCGGGTCCTCAAAGCGGTGCCGACACGGACCCAGAGATCCCCGTTAAGGCCCCGAGGAAGCTTGGCACGTCCGTTGTGCCAGTCAGCAATCAAACTCTTACAGTCGGTCACGTAGCAGATCGGTCCCCTCGAGCTCTCAAGGGCGAGACAGAGGGCCTGCAGCTCAGCACGCGGGACAGTTTGCTTCCTACCCGAGAGAATCTGAGCCGCCCCGCAAGCCGGGCTCCAGAAAGGCGACGAGGCATCCTGACACATCACCACGATAGCCGAGCCGCAACGCCTCCGACGGGGATCCGAACTGTGCTCGCCTCCTGAACCGTCCCCAAAAATGAACAGGGGGGGAGCTCCAGGGGCCACACAGTGATCCAGCAAAGCCCCCTCCCCAAGAAGGACCTTTTGGGCCGCCTCAGAGCTCTCCACAAACTTGGGCACCACAAGGTCCTTCGGGGGCACTCCGCGAAGCCATAGCGCGGGCTGCGCGTCCAGGCTCGCGAGGGCTTGGGGGACCAGAAAGTCAGTCTTTGCAAAATCTTCGTGCCCGCAGTTAGCTGAGCACGTCCAAATACGGTGCGCTAACGTCTCAGGCTTTTCTTTACAACGGGGGCACAGCAGCGGGCAGGCATATCCTGCAGCAATCTGCCTCTCACGAGTCCACTGGCCGCCGCTCACCACGGCGACATCCGCCGACCACTCGTCGAACTGCATCCGCTTGGCGAAGCGGTTCAGCTCGATGGTCACAGTCGTCAAGTCGGCGCCGTCCGCCAGGTCGTCGCCAGCCGCATGATGAGAAGCTGACTGCCACTGCTGCGCAACACAATCATCCATGAAGGCGCCCAGCATGTCATCAAAGTGGGCCAGCACCGCCGTGCCGAACTGCTCGTCACCGAAGGAGGGGAAGATCCAATCATCAATCGTGCCGTCTGCTAAGGGCCGAGACCACACCAACGGCGACTGGGGATCCCAGCCCACTTGCAGCAAGGTCGCTTGCAGCGCAGCAATCGGGCCACGAACATCCTTCCAACGGACGGCCTTGCCACGCTTGAGTCTCGCCAACACGATGGGCCATACCTTGCAGATCCGTGGATGAAGACCAGGCTGTGCCAACCACAAGGCCACCCATTCACGCAGCAACTGACGGCGTAAATCGACACCAGGCTCCGCAGTGCCGTAGATAGCCTGCAGCACGGTGGTCAGGCACCGTCCCCGCTTCGTTCCAGCCACCGCTGCAGCTGCATCGCGTCGCATGGCCAACAGCGTAGTAGGAGGGGTTCCCATCAGCTGATGACCAAAGACGGACGCTGGGTACACGCCTGTCGACCAGAGCTTCTTCGTCACAAAGCGGAGCTTAGCCAGGCGCCTGACCTTCATCACCTTACGTTGTCTACGTCTTGCCTGGGCGCGGCGCTTCATCATCCTGGCAGAGGCCCTCACCCTGGCAGCGGCAGCATCGGAGCCCAAGTCCACCGTGGCGCGCACGAACTCCACAGGGATGCCCTTGCGGCGCAGCCGCTTCTCCAGCTCCGCGCCAAGGTCGTCCGAGCTCGCCACCAGCTTCGTCTTGGTGGAGATCTGGAGACGGAGCTCACGGAGACCGTCTGCCATGACATCGGCCGTCGCCACGAGGTCGCGGATGACCTTCTGCTTGGTGCCCTCCGCGCGGCCAACAATGTCGTCAATATAGCTCCACAGGCCAGCAGGAGGAACCTCACGATGGACGGTATCCAACAGCCGATGCAACATCACAGGAGGAGGAGGAGGAGACGACGAGTAGGAGTAGGAGTAGGAGTAGGAGTAGGAGGAGGAGGAGGAGGAGGAGGAGGAAAAGGGGGAGGAGGAGAGGAGGGAGGGAGGAGGAGGAGGAGGAGGAGGAGAAGACGACGAGTAGGAGGAGGAGGAGGAGGAGGAGTAGGAGGAAGAGGAGGAGGAGGAGGAGGAGGGGGAGGAGGGGGAGGATGAGGATGAGGAGGAGGAGGAGGAGGAGGAGGAGGAGGAGGACGAGGAGGAGGAGGACGAGGACGAGGAGGAGGAGGAGGAGGAGGAGGAGGAGGGGGAGCAGGCCCGCCGCTGCGAGCGGACCCTCCAGACCAGCCGCCCGCGCCCGCGCGCGCGGTCGGGCGGAGGCCGCGCGGAGGACCGACGCGGAGCGGGCGGAGGGCGGAGCCCCCCTCGCGCGAGGCACCGCCGCGCGCCCTCACTCCCCCGCGTCCGCCAGCACCTGCCGAGAGCACCGGAGGCCTGGAACCATTGGAGCAGGGACCGACCGTCCCGGCACTCCTGAGAGGCCTCCCAGGACATGTGCTCAGAACCCACGTCTGGTGCAAGAACAAACAAATCCATGTTCTTCGAGCATCGGCCCGATGTGCTAGAACAAGGCGGTCCCAGCCAGAAGTGCTCTAAGAGCATGTCGTGGATACCTTAAACAAGTTCTTAGAACATTGTTTGGTAGGCCTATGGGCACGCCAGGACGCTTCGCCACTGCTTGAGATATGTTGCCCCCCACGTACTTAAGGACCAAGATCTCAAACATAATTTCGAGCACCCCGAAAAGTATCGAAGCAGTGTCGCAAGAGTATCGCTTCCCGGGGCCCAGCACGTGAAAGCCCTCCAATTTCGGTGCTCGAACTTCTTCCTGGCGATCTAGGCTAAAGCAGGTTGGGACATCATAAGCTTGGAGACGGGCACCAGCACCAACACGAGGGGGTGCCAAAGAGCCTAAGACGAAACGACGATAAATTCAGGCGAAGATATACGGAGGATCTCCGAGATCCGGCGGCTCTGGAGGATGCATCGGGCGGCGCGGCCTTGCCAAAACGTTCCGGAATGCTCTGAGAGAGGCCATAACGGGCGTTATGGGTGGACAAGCGCGTCCCGCTACTCGCAAATCAACTACTCGCAAGTGGCCTGGATCTGCCGCGGGTGGTTCACGATATATTGCATAAGGAGGTAGGCATTTCGCGAAAAGTGGAACGCGCTCGGCGAATGGGTCGAGGGGGGATGGAGGGGGGGGGCGGGAGGGGGCAGAGCGCAGCGCGCGCCCCCCCTCCAGAGTGTGGTGCCGAACGCACTGCGGCCGTGCCTGGGACGCAGAGAGGGGGGGAGGCGTTACGTTGTGGGGGGGAGGGGGCAGGCTACAGTGCGGGCGCGGCCGCAAGAAACCCTCGCCGGAAACCCAACCCTGAAAACCCGCGCGCGAGGTGCACCTGAGGGGAGACCCGGAGCACCCTGAACGCAGCCGCTCCTTCCCCAGCTGCGGGAAGCCACCGCACGGAGCGCGGAGCTAAGAAACCCGGGATACCCTAACAAAAAGCATATGGTTTCTTGATGAGCGCCCCCACTGTAGGGGGCATAACGCGCGTCATGGCCCCGAGGGGGGTACAACACACTCTCCCTGGACACGGGCACCCACCTGGGAAGCCCGAGTAGCACCACCACCACCACCACCACCGAGATCGGGATCATCTTGCCTCGGTGGAGGCACATCGCCGGTACTGGTGTGGGTGCCAACCTCTAGACCCTCGAGGCCTCCGAAGGCAAAAGGAGGGAGGCGGGGCGGTCGGCTTGGTGCAGCCCTCCCTCCCCCCCCCCCTCCCCCTCCCTGGGCAGGGGAAGCGGCAGGGAGGCGGGGGGGCAGGGAGGGGATGGCGGTTGGGCAGGTGGGCGGGGGGAGGGGGCGACCACAGGAGGCAACTCCCGGAAGGTCTCCGTGAGAACTTGGCGGCGCGCGCGGGGAGGTAGGAACGGAACGGAACGGAACTCCAGGGGACCTCTTGTCTTTGAAGGGGCCCTGGGACACACAAAAACAATAGACACAACTCCCAGGATTTCATTTTTTCTCATATGTTATGGGTTTTCGTCTTCCCCTCATTTCCAATAGTTTCCCATAGTTTCCTTGGGATCGACGATTACTTGTGTCTGTGTGTTTTTGTTCCCTCCTGGGTCTTGTGTGCTGCTGCGCTCTGCCACGACAGGCTCGGAGGAAGAACCCACGGGGAGCCCACGAGAGCACGAGGCCAAGGTGCGGGCAATACCTATCCATACCCAATTCGTTGTGGCCTCTCTTGGAAGGTGCGCCGCAAGGCCGAGGCGCACTGAATATGGATTACAATCTAGCCGTGTAGGGCCAGGTTTTAATCCATATCCAGTGCTCCTCGTGTTTCTGGGGAAGACAGCCTGGAACTCCAAGACACACTGGATGTGGATATAGGCGTTGCCCGCAGAGCTGTCCCTCGGAGCATCTCGCCGAACGCTGACGCCCCGCCCCAAGGGCCGCCGAAGGGAAAGCGCACCGTACCCAGCACTGGGCCCAGCGAGGAGAAACAGGGGAGGGCGACGCGACAACGGAGGGGGAACGACACAAAAGGGGGTATAGGGGGAGGGGGAAGGCCTCCTAGATCGGGAGCGGCCAAGAGGGGTGTGTGCAAATCATGAGCGGCGGCACGTGCGCGGCCCAGCGGGGGGACCAGGGACGTAATGAAACAAGAAGAAGCGCCGTGAAATCTCGGGAAATATCATGGCCCCCGCCAAGATATCCACCCCTCCCTAGTCCTCACCCCCCTCTTTGCCGACCCCGACTAGACTTAAGTCGGGCCTGTCCCCCTACAGGAGGATTTTCGACGAGAAATAAGAATACCCCAAAATTTATCAAAAAATAATCCAAACATACTCTGGGGACTATTTTTTACTATTGCTTGACCTTGTTAGAATATTGTTGGGGTGTTTTATTTTTCCGTCGAACATGCCCCTGTATAGGGGGACAAGCCCGACTTTTGAGACTAGACCGAGGCTGCCCCTCAGGATGCAGCCGGACAGCTACAGAAAAGCCCGCCAGGGGGGCCCTGCAACGGAAACCGAAAAACCGACGGCCCGACGGACCTGGACCCGCAAAAATGGCGGCCGCGACGCCCCCTCGCGAACCGAAAACGGCCAATTCACTAATCGACGTGTCAGGATAGGAGGTCTGTCCACCCCCCACTGAATGCATGTATTGCTCTCCCCTGGGCTACTCGCCCATGTCGCCGCCTCTGAGCCGTGGCGACGAGGCTTCCCCCCCCAGAAGGCCAGCCGCCGCCCCCCCCCTCCTCCTCCTCCTCCTCCTCCTCCTCCTCCTCCTCCTCCTCCTCCTCCTCCTCCGCCTCCTCCTCCGCCTCATCCTCCTCCTCCTCCTCCTGCTCCGCCTCCTCCTCCTCCTCCTCCTCCTCCTCCTCCTCCTCCTCCGACTGTAGAGAAGCTCGCCAAAGGGGGGCCCCCCGAGAGAGCCCTATCGGAGCACCCTCGCCGCGAGCCGGCGGCCCACCCCGCGAGGGGCAGACGGAGGGAGCGCGCACACCGTGCCCCTTTGGGCGGGGCCCCCGGCGAGGCGCGGGGGAGGGCGGCGCGACAAAGAAGGGGGGACGACGCAGGTACAGTCAAAAACCCTAATGAGGACGCGCGGTAAGGACGCAAGACCCTTGGAAGCCGAAGTTGGGATTTTTGGGGCGGCGGACGACGGAAATCTCAAGGACGCAAGAGAAAGGAAGAGCAAGGACGCAAGGGTACCCTGAGCAAAGTCGCGCGTCCTTATTAAGGTTTTTGACTGTAAAGGGCCCCAGGGACACACCGGTAAGAATCACACAGAGCCCAAGGATCCCCCCATATACTTCCGCGTCTTCCATGTGTTTTTCGTCTCCCCCCAGTTCCCATGTGTTCCAAGATTTCCCAGGGGGTCGACGATGAACTGTGCTTGTGTTTTTGTTCCCCCCCCTGGAACAAGGGGGTAGGGGGAGGGGGAAAGGCCTCTTGGAGGGGGGCTGCTTCTTGGAATACGGCAGGGTGCCTCTAAGAGGCTTCGTTTCCTCCCCCCTGCCCCCCTCTGCGCGTGGCCGTCGATCAGGGGCGATCAAAAACGCGTATCTTAATGTTCGGCGATGCCCGGCGTCATGGGGGGTGGGGGGAGGGGGGGATATGACGTAACGTCCCCCCCCCGCCGTGTGGCTCCGGTACCACAGCCGCGCCCGTGCGCACGACGCGACGAGCGACGAGCGACGAGCGACGACGACGACGCGAGCAGCATGTAGGTGGCGATATGCCCCACTGCGCTTGTGTACACCACAACGCTCGCGTACACGACAGCGCGCGTGTACACCACAGACCTTGCGCACACCGCAATAACGGTGTGCAACACGGCGCCTGTGTACACCACGGTGCTTGCGTACACTACAGCGCCAGTGTACATGTGTACACCGCAGCAACCATGTGCAACACAGGGTTTGTGTACACCACTGTGCTTGCGTGCACCTCACCGCCTGTGCACACCACATCGCCTGTCTACACCACAGCATCCGCGTGCAACGCAGCTCTCATGTACACCACAGTGCCTGCGTGCAAAAAAGTGCGAATCGAATGTGAGGTCCCTCCTCCCTCTCCCTCCACGTCCACCTCCTCCTCCTCCTCCTCCTTCTCAACCTCCTTTTCCTCCTTCCCCCCTGTCGTGCGAAGTGGCGCTGCATCGCACGTGCGCATCTCAGCGTGCACCGCAGTATGGTCTACTGAATCGGTCCGTTTGATTTTTGCACGGCCAATTTAGCTGGAGCCTCCTGGACGCAGATGGGAGGAGTTAGGGTGATGCGGCGGACTCGGGTGGACTCGTAGATTCCAGCGGCGCTCCTTTGTCCATAAAGATTATGTTCGACTCTTTTCTGTGGAATCGACAAGCACTCCATTTGCTCATAAGGATTCCTTTCCAACACTTTGTTTACAACAGTTATGTTGTGCTGCACACGGTTGCTGTGGTGCACACAAGCGCCGTGGTTCACACTGACACTGCAATGCACGCAGTCCTTGTGGTGTACAGAGTTGCTGTGTTGCAAACGGTTGATGTGGTGTACGCAGGAACTGTGGTGACACAACAGCTGTTGTGCCCGCAAGCACGGTGCCACAGACTGACGCTGTGCTGCACGCGGCTGCTGTGTACATAGGCGGTGTGGTGTACACTGGCGCTGTGATGCACGCAGGCACTGTGGAGTAAACACGCGTTGTGGTGCAGATCGCCACCTACATGCTGGTGCTACCCGTCCTCCGTCATTCCTAGGCAACCCCAGACGACGCCGGCGCGAAACGTGACGTCATCGACCCCCTCCCCCCCCGCAGATGATTGCCGCCATCGGCCTGGAATAAAAAACAGGCTCCAGCCGAGTCCGCGCGCACGACGACGATGAGCGACGAGCGACGAGCCACGAGCGATGACGACGACCACGACGACAACGACGACAACGACGACGACGACGACGACGATGACGGCGACAACGACGACGACGATTGCGGACTAGACTTTTATGCGGATTCCTACGCAGAGACACCTATGCGGATCCCAACGCGCACGGCGGCAGTGCCCGGAGCGCACCGGGGGGGGGGGGAGCGTTACGTCATAGGGGGGGTGGGGGGGCGCGGGCCATGACGCCCGTCATGCCCCAAGCAATAAAGAAACGGGTTCCAAGCCGGCCCTGCAACTGGAGTGAACTGGATTCAGCCCAAGACGGGGCTGCGCTACGCAGGGTTAGACGGGATGACGCGGAACTTGTCGGGATCATGGCAGGCAGGGTGGGGGCTGTTTTCGACCACGGACGTACTTGCGCCGATGCTGAATTCCACCCCCCAGAAGTTGCATCCTCAGCGACAGACGGGTCGGACGGCATGTTTCGACGCCCGTCATCCCCTACTGTGAAACCGACATCTGCCGCTGTTGGGCAGGCGGCCTTCTGTCTCCAACGGGCAGCGTCCGCGGCGACACCGACAGCGAGTGCTACTCAAGGACATGTTGTCGGTCTGTGTAACCAGTTTGTTCCGTACCGATTTCGACCGTCCCGAATAAGGAACAGAACATACCAGAAGCCTGTTGTCGGGCTGCAAGAGCCGGTCCCTTGGGGGCGCTAGGAGCGCCCAGGCGGGCCTGCAAAAAGGCATCACTGCAACGACGTAAAGATCCATGACGGCACCATTTCTCCCCTTCCCGCAATTCTTCGCAGCTTCCAGGCAGGAGCCCACCAAGACTCTTGACAGGGGCGGGAACAAAAAAACGAAAAGAGGGCGAGCGCAACGAGTCAGCGCAAGTGGATCGCGCCCCTCTCTCCGTGCGCGGTTATACAGGGGCCCTGGGACACACAAATAAATATACACAAATACAAGGATTCCCAATATTTTTGAATATTTTCTGGGTTTTTGTCTTCCCCCCCACTTCGCATATTTTCCCATACGTTCCTAGGAATCGACGATTCATTGTGTCTGTGTGTGTGTTTTTCCCCTCCAGAGGTTATCCCCGCGCCCTCGCGCCGCCTCCCCGACGGGCACGGTCGCCCCCGCCTCGGCCGCGACGCGCGGCGCGCCGTGCTCCTCGCGCCGCCCGGGGGGTGACCTGGTTTCCGGACACTGGCAGAGGCTTTAAGGCTGCTTTTGAATCCAAAAAACTGGCGCTTGAATCCAAAAAATTGGTCTGTGAATTCAACCAGTTTTTCAATTCCAAGACTGCTTCCTGACTTTACACATTTTTCGCTTGTATGTTTAAAGAACGTGTTTTGTTTCATCTTTCGGCGATGTACATAAATCAAAAACCAGTCGCCGCCCCCTTGCCATGTGCCGACGTCGGACATCCCGGCGCCTATGGCGGCCACGGTACCGAGGCGAGGCACCGGCGGCGGGGACGAGACCATCTGCACGCAGCCGTTTTCGTGGCCCCGTCTTCCCACTGTTCCCCCCTGTCGGCCGACTCAGGGCTCGAGTAGCGAATCGACTACAGAATTGATCTTATCCACAACGCTGACGTGCTCGTCGGATCTACGAGAAATTCGCATAGCGTTCGCAGATCTACGGACATTCTAAGCAAGTCTGTGGGTTCGACGAACAACTCACCTTTGGGGTATGGGAACTCTATTGTCGATCTACGACTCGAAAGAACGGGGAAGCAGGGGAGCGGAAAAGGGTGTCCGAGAAGGAAAAGAGTCCTGATACCGCCGCTCTTCTCCCCCTTTTCTCTCTTTTTTGAGCCTCCTGAGAGGCCCTCGTCGCCACCGCACAGGACTCGCCTCGAAACTTTGGTCAGAACGCACCCCGCGAGAAGTCCAGTGAGGACAGTGGAGGCAAATCCACAAGAGACCTTCCACAAGAAACCCAACCCTGAGACCGGGAGACGTCCATTGATTGTTGGTGTGGGAACGTCACGCATTCCGTAGAAAACCATCGAAGCCCAAGAGACCGAAGGCACCCTGAAGGCAAGCAGGGTGTTCCTTGGCATGGGCTTCCACTGTGGAGTTATCGGAGGTATCGGTATTGTTTGGTTTCCCCAGAGGGGGGAGGGGGGGGGCGCCAAAGGGGGGCCCGAAACATGGGATTCCTAGCTGGCCGCTCTGCGGTAGATCGGGTAATTCTCTATGTAGAAGGAAGGGCCTGTTCATTGTGGGCGAGAGGACAATGAGCGGGAGGCGGTGGTGCGGCGGATGAGGATG